TTGTTATAAAATGGGATTTTTATTCAAGATTTTTAACATGAAATTAAACTTTTTGAAATGTGTTTAARTAAAAAATGCTTTAGAAGACATGAAACATCATAGTATTGTTTTTTAATCAACATTTTATAAAGATCAGATCAGATCACTGTATTACTGTCTTTATGGGGACATTTAGATGTTACACTGGCAACAAGGCAGTACAGATCATGAACAAGAAGTAAAAACGCAAAAAATAGTATTCTTATGTACAAGAGAACGTATGTGCTTATAGAAACATACACTGACTATTGTCCAAGAATSGATGAAAACAGGGACAAGCAGTGTGATGTGATTATTGTAATTTTTTTATTTACTGCTTTGAGTTATTAGGCCTGGGCCTTTTTCATGTATTTAGATAAAATATAGTATATAGGTACATTTGTTTTCATTTATTATCCTATGTCAAAATCGTTTTGACCAATGTTTAAAATTCTGACTTACAAAATAACTGCATCKTTTATTTTAAAATAAAACAAATCCTATGAGAGGTTGTTTCTAAATATAGTGTTTATAGACAAGTTTGGCTTATTAAAGAAAATAACAGTAAATAATTTTACCTTTTGGAAAAATCCTGGGATTTTTGGGATTCTCACTGAGCTCTTTTTTGGGAGGTTAGCGCTGGGACCTGATGAAACACAATTATTTAAAATAAAGGCAGGATTGTTATAATGTTTTTGAAATGATATATTTTGACCAGCAGAAGTCACGAGGACTTCTAAAGACGTTGACCTTTAATGTGTAACAACAGGAAAATTCATACCTGGTTTAACTGATGCAGRCTGTTGTCCCTCCTGAGAAGTCCTGAAAAATCTTATAGTATTTAGAAAACAGCAACAAAACACTAAAAAGACTGGTTTTGACACATCTTTATGCAAACATTACCCTTTTTGATTCTCTGTCTCCTGTGTCTTCAGTCAATAGCCATACCCACAACAAAAGTGACAAAACAAACAGACAAAAACATCATTTTAGGAAAACATTTAAAAATTTTTGGAAAGTCTTAATTTATATAATGTATCCTAAACCACACAATGTTTATAGTGAGATGGCAAACACTGGGACTGATCTCTTTTTGACTACAAATGTTTTGCTTCAGGACATGAGTAGCATGTGCACTGTACCGTTTCAAACTTATTTTGTGCGCATGGTGAAGCCCGGCTCTTTCAGGTCAAAGATCAGCCAAGGTAACGCTGAGGTTGCTATAAAAACACCATTGGAATTGTGCAAATTTGACGTTTACATGTGTTGTAAATGTCATGACAATCCGTCCACACGTTTTTGAGTTACGCTGTCCACAGACAGACATACGCGACCGAAAACATTACCTCCTCGGCGGAGGTAACAATTACATTARATTTACTATATCTTGCCAATTTATTGGTTTCTGTCACTTCTTAGCTTAACATTAATTTTATTTCTCCCTGAACCCTTATTTTCATAATCATGTACCTGCAATAACATGTCATCATATTCATTGGTCAATAAATAATTGGACTTGGTTAGTCTGTGTCTTAGTAAAATTAATGGGATTTGTCTAACGACAAGAACACACGTTAATTACATCAAGACTAATAAATCACTGACTTATTGAATTTCTGCTTTAAAAAGGAAGTGGTTCCCTGATTTTTAATTATTACCGCTAAATTATAATTTTATGATACAGCAGGTAAAATAAGTATTGAACACGTCACCATTTTTCTCAGTAAATATATTACTAGAGGTGCTAATGACATGAAATTTTC